CGCAAGAAAAGTCAAGGAAGTGTCCCAAAAAACAAAACAGGAGGAGGGGAAAGTCGGTCCAAGAAACTGTCTGGGTTAGAAAATAAGGATCATATCCAGTTCTTTTCCTGGACCAACACTTGAAATAAGAAACAGGTCCAAGAACTCTGGACTGCACAGACTAGTGAGACGACAACACAAACGTCAAAAAACAGAGTCAACCAAATCCAGGTAAAGTTCAGGAGAGTCTTTGCTTATACTGAAGAGGGAAATCAAATAAACCGGGAGGCTGCAGCCGTTCTGACTTCTCCAAACCGACAAACTGTTTGGAATACACAAGGACGGTGCTTAACGACTCAGAAAGCAGACACCCCATGTTTACCCCCACACACTCCAAAGAAAAGACCCTGTCCTATCATCAGGCGGGTGGGGACAGAAAACCTGAATTCGAGGCGGCTTAAGTGCTCTCTGGAATCACTCAGCATTCCCCTCCCTTCCCGGTCCGGTCCGCAGAGCAGAAATTTGACTGCGACGGCGTAGCCATCCATAACAATAAATTGTCCTTTGGGGAATTTTGGCGGGGCTCCGTGTTTTCCCTCCCATCTTTTTACCCCGCTGTAGTCCCAGCGTGCTGTTCCAGTTCCAAAAAGCTGTCTCCGTCACTCTCAATCACAAGCAGCTTGTCTGTATGCAAAAAACAGACGCTTTTCCGAAGGCTTCAGTCAGAGGTAGACACGAAGAAGCGCACGGATCTGAGACTTGCAAAGGAAGAGGTCTGCTACTTGTTTGGCCTGGGCTTCATGTGGGTCGTTTACTGACTAATAACGTAGTGCATGGGAAAGGTTAGTCGGGAATAATTTTTAGGGGTCTGGAACATTTATAGTTGCCAAATTCCATACTTTTCCAAAGTCAAATCTCCAGGGTCCCATGTGCTTGTTAAAAGCATTAATATAAAAAACGTTTAGTAAGCAAGGAAGGAAGATGGGGAGGGAAGAAGGAAAGTAGGAAGGAACAGACTTTATACTTCCAATTTAAAATGTTTCGGACAAGACTTAGCATTTCCCACAGAGGAGATAAGGTGAGTTTAGCCAAGTAAGCTGTGAAGTGTTATTAAAAGATGATTTTACTTAAATTAAATACTAAATCGGGATAGTTAAAGTGTTTAATAATGCGCTTCAAGTTTCCAGATTTCCTGGAAGGATGTGCTAAATTATTAAAGGGCCAAACCTCTACCAGCTATTCACAAACTGATATTTGGCATTAAGGTTTAAAGAAGATTTTCCCTCTGACCGATCCTTTTACTGAGATGTCAGATTCTGTCTGCCACATTGTGCTGCACCCTGCAGGACAGCTGGCTGAGGAAGGCTGTTAAACTTTTCACTCACATGAAATAAAAATACTAATTTCCAGTCAGTATTTAATTAATGCCATCTTAAGTCTACAGATGGAGAGCTGTGGATGTTGTCGTTAAGCAGCTGATTGCTGGGTGGCGGCCAGAGCAGATAGCCCTACTAACTAATCAGCAAATATCAGGTGCATGCAACACATTTTTAATTAAGTCTATATCAAAATCAAAATAAATAAATGTTTGGATTACATTTTGTAAACTATACTGTTTGCAACAATATAAATAACAGTTTTTCTGTTATGAATAAAAATAAAGCTCTATCATGTTCTACATTTTTGTTTTGAATCTTTATTGAAGGTCATCTTTCTTGTGATATTTCCTATTCTTTATTTCAATCAGTGGCTGCAAACTGTTCTTATTCGCGGTGAAAGCTGTTCAACAACAAACACGGACCTGTGAACTAATTTGAAATCCTTTGTTTAACTCAATAAAGCAGACTGGATTCAATGCATCTACGGCCCGAAACACGCGGGACACCGATGTACGAATCTGCAGCCAGAAACTCCCTAAAACCCTCGGAGCACAGCTGGAGAATCAGTTCAACCTGTTCCCTCCTAAACTTCCTGGAAAAAAAAAAAAAAAAAAAAAAAAGGCAGATTTTTTCTGATGAGTAACAGGGAGGGTTAGTCACTCGAACGGGACAGAAAAAAAAATGGCTTCGACAAACAGCAGGATTTTAAATTTGCTCCGCAACTTCCAGCTGGAATCTCCTCCTTCTGCTACGTAATTCCCCTCCTCTTTGTGGCTCAACCTCAGCCTCCCACCCCTCATCCCTTTACATGCTACAGCTGGGAAGAAAGGGGGGTGGAGGGGAGGGGAAATGAGGTCAAGGATCATGTTACTCCTTATACTCTAACCTCCCTCCTCTCTCCCTCACTCAAAACTTCATTCCATCACTGCAGCTTCCCCCCGTTTTACCCCACCCTTTCCCGTGCCCTCGGCCCGGTGCTAATTGGTAAATCTGTTGAACCATGCCATCTCCAACAATGAGGCACCTGGAGCTCTGTCAAAACAAGTTCCCCTGCGCAAACGGCCTCCAGTGTTAATGCAGCGGCGTGCCGAGCTGCACAGTCTGCTGTCACCCTGCAGAATGCAGATCAAGCCGTCCGGGGGAATTTGTCAGAGATGAGCACGCTCTGACAGCCGACGGTGGGAGTGGTTCGTTAGGAATAAAGATTAATCATCAGCAGTGTATCTGACTCTTGATCCTGGTTCTTTGTGCAGGACAGCAATTAGAAAAATCTTACTAAGACCGATGAGTTTTTTTTTTTTTTTGTTTGTTTGTTTTCAAAGCCTCCACAGGTCAGCTCTCTTTGTTAAAAGGGAAACATCATCGTCTCGCTTCACCCCGACAAGCCGTCATCCAAGACTCGAGTCACACCTTAGGCTCAAGGACGCTGCGTCCACACCGGCGCAGACAAAGGTGTGTTTGTAAGACACACACACACACACACCCATGCACACACACACACACACACACACGCCGAAAGACAGACCGGCGCACCCAAAGTTGATCCTGCCAGACCTTGTCAAACAAGTTTTAGCAGAGACGGAGGGAGGGAACCTAAGCATCAAGTCGACACGAGGAAAAGATTGTTTTTTTCTGTCTATCAAACGTGATTTACCGTCTTTCTTGACTGGTTTTTCTTTCATTTATCTAGTGTTATTTACAGGCAACAAAGGCCCCGGCAGAGTGTGCATAATCAACAAGCAATTGATTAGTCAAACAATTGGAGTGAGCCCTCCAGAAGGCCGCAGTGGCCTCAGAGGAGATTAAGCCTCCTCTCTTCTGGGTTTTGGTAATGCCCGGCCTATTTCTGGCTTCACAGCGCCTGACTGAGGCGAATCCAAACAAGGTTTACTGAAGTCCCTCAGCATGTCAGTGCGGCGGCACTAAAAACAACAGCTAACCTTACCTTGGGACTCCGCTTTTTGATTACTTTGAGGGGTTTTAAATAGATGCAGGGAAAACAGGAACCAGAGAGGGACATTCAGAGTCCAACACGGTTATCTGGACTCTAAATCTTCAACCAGTGGATGTAAACACTCCAGTTTAGTGCGTCTTTGTGTGAGGAAAACTCTGTTAGTCAGTTTGTGTGAGGATACAGGGCCGTTTTTGAAAGCGGCTGCATAAAAAAAATAAATTAATAAAAAACAGGTTTTTGTAAAAAGCTTTGTCCTATAAAAGGATGTCAATAAGAAATGGTTAAGACATGACAGAAACCAAACAAAGACAAAAACAGTTTGTTTTCCACCTGCTGTCACATTACAGCCACAGACTTCAGTGCATTCCACTGGGATTTTACGAGACAGACCAACAAAAGCTGGTGCATGAATCAATGAATCACATGATAAAGGAAATAAGATTGATAATTACTATTTCCATGATTGTGTTTCTCATGTCTCTCTTTCTACGACAGACCGGATGACCAAGGTCCTGCCCCTTTGTTGAAGGAAAATTTTAGTACAGACTTCAGTATCTATTTTATTTATTGCTTCAGCTGTTTTGTTTATTTATTTTGTGGATTTAAAATGTCTTCCACTTATAGTGTTAAGCATTCATTAGAAATGAAAGTTGAATAATATATGACAGGGTTTACTGCATTACTGTCCCGTCATTATACCAATTATATCATCATCATTATTTCCATTGCATTGCTTGAAAATGTTCTCAACACAACAGTATCGTTTGTTGCAATAACTTCTGGAATAATTTATTGCCCAGTGAAATTTGTGACCATGACAGGCGTCGTTGTGAAGTAAAGTCAATGGGATGCATCTTTAACTTTTTGGGAAAAAGTCAAGGCTTTACAGATTGACCATTCACTGAGAGAACAGCTTTTCAGATTGGACAGAGAGCATCTTGAAACAGATTTTCAGCCTGATTTAGATCTGGACTTTGACTGGGCCATACTAACATAAGTATATGCTTTGATCTACACCATCTCATAGTAACTTTGGCTGATCGTCCGCTAGACTCTCCAGTCTTCTGCAGTCTGTGTTCCTTCGTAATGATGTTTGTTCACTAATGTTCTCTGGAAAAACAACCGAGGCCGTCTCAGAACAGATACAATTACACACAGCTGAACACGTTTAGTGTCTTATTTGGACCAATTGTTTCCACCGGTTCTTGTTTTAAGGTATCAAAGTGAAAGGGGCAAAATAAAACCATGACGCACTTTTTTGTGTGTTGGTCTAAAAAAAACCCCAATTAAATTCAGCGAAGTAATGTGACAAAAAGTGGAAAAGTTCAAATGATAAAAAAATACCTTTGAAAGGCCAAATTAAGCAATAAAATACCTAAACATCCAATGAAACATCAATACAGTTATACACATTAATAAATGCATTATCAGCACCATTCATCATACATAAACATTTGAGTTCTGATTTCACATAATAAGGCATTGCAGACATTCAGTAGCATATAAACAGCAAATCAGCAGCAATGAATGATTATGATTGTCATTATCACGATTTAAGGTTCTTTTCATTCACTACTTTTGCCATTTTAAATAATCAATAAATAATCAGTTGGTAATTTGAGTGCATAATCAGTCAAATGAAAAAAAAAAAAAAAGCATATTATTTTTGGAATTCAAAGGTCTCTCACCAAATGAAATTGGTGAAGGCTCAGATCTGACTGTCCGGGGAATTCCCAGCAGAAGGGCCCCTGAAAGGCAAAGACGGACGTTCCCAAGTCACACAATTATATCAGCTCTCCATCTCTCCTTTTTATTTCTCTCTCAATCTCTTTCTCTCTCTCTCACACACACACACATACACACAGGCGCACACACAGCTCTGCATACAAACTCAGCAGAAGGTTTTATGCAAAAAGAAACATGTTCGCATTGGAAAAAAATAAAAAGCTGCATCCCCTGGCTGTTTTACTAATTTAAGCTACCACCTCGCCCATGCTGGCTCAGCTCTCGATGGGCTCCGTTAGAACTGGTTTTACACAGGGAAAACGGGAGTGTGCTGGCTCTCAACTGGTTTAACAGTTGCCTGGTTGTTAAAACAACGCTGCGCTTTGCTGAAACACTTCACCTCCTCTGTGTGAACAAGGATGCCTCAGCTGCACTAGCTGGCCAGATTCTGCCTCAGTGGCACAAGTTATAATGTCAAAGCTTCTTTAATCCCAATTGCATGATGACTTTTCACATACCAGTTCAGAACATGCATAATGTTTCAATTTAGCAGAGGGATATCTGAGCTTTAACTGTCCTGTAGCTAAAAGGAAAAGATGAAATTACAAACAAATGACAGAGGACAGGAGAGGGGGAAAAGAAGGTTGAGACTGAAAACAAAAGAAGGGATAAACTAGTGAAAGTCAAACAACATGCAAAGGGAAGCAACGGGGCTTTTTAGTTTACTGAAGGGCTCTGGTACCCAACAGCTACTGTGCACTCAGATCACTGGGTTTTTCTTCTACTCGTGTTGACCCTCGGGCCAGCGAGATAGCTCCTCATAAAAGCTAGTCAGTAAACACTGCGGTTTACTGGCGCGGCGCGTGCACGCGAGCAAATATCCATTATGCCGTTAAAGTGTGTCCAACACAGACTCCCACATGCCCAACCCTCAGCAAGGGTTAGCTTAAGTTAATGGGGGGTTATTTAGCAGTCAGCAAGGAGACACAACAATAACGCTAAAACACACCGCTTGCATCCGGCTCTTCGCGGTACGATCCGATTGTTCCCATACATACGGACTCCGACTCGAGTGTCCATAACAGGACCACCGGACTCGTGAGATTGAGCATTCAGGCATGTTCCGGAAATCCCACCGGAATTAAAAGCTTCTCAAACAAGATCACTTTTTCCTTTTTTTTTGTATTTCTGAGCTCCTATCAGGGACAAGATCACTGCTCTTTAGGCTAGCAATAAGTTTTAGTTTGTCTCACTTCCTGTCTCACTCATAATCTGCGGTGAACTTGCCACGCACTTTCGACCAAAACAGACCCCAAGTCTTTCTTGGCTGGGCAGTCGGAGTAAATCTTTATCTCTGAGGCCTAATAAAGGCTAACAGATTATCAGGTGTCTTCACACCTGATAATCTGGTAGACAACTAAGGAGCACCATCAGATTTTAGCAATTTCTCTTTTCTCTTTGGCAGATGAGCCATTTTTCCCGCTAATGCTAGACTTGCCATTTGTTTTGGTTGTATTTACCCAGAATGCCCTGCGTTATTGTTAACTTTCTGCTTCTTGAGTAATTTCCAGTCCGCTTGGCAGTCTTATATACATTCGAACGGCACCAGAGTTTACCTCAACTGAACCGAGAACTAGCTCAAAACACATGCATGCCACATTTTTCCAATTCTTATTTGTAAACAAAGTCGGAACACATTATTGTCTTTCCATTCACCATAATGCAACACTTTGGACTGTTCTGTCACATAAATGGGTTGGAGACAAAATGTAAAAAAATATGAAGAGTACGGATACTCTGTCGAGCATTTTAGAATATTCTAAGATTCTCTTTAAAGTCAAAGGAGAAGAAAAAAAAAAACAATCTGCAGTCGGTTGTTGTGGGATTGCTGCAAAGTGAGCCAACACTGAGCGGATTGTCTGTGGGAACGAGCCGCCATCCAGACTACTGGACAGATACAATGACCGAGGTGCTCTCATTCTCATTGTCACGGTTCCCGGGGCTGACGCCACGTCTCGTCCAGGCCGATGACGCAAGCGTGGCCCTCTCCAGCAAGCGCCCGAAGCCGGAGGAGGCAACAACGCCGAAACAAACTGGTCGATAAGAATAAACATGTTATATAAAATATGCACACGCACACAAAAAGACCCTCTATCATCACATAATCCGGCATGCTAAGTGTATTTCTGGTTTCAAAATTGGAGACAACCGTAAATAAATGCGTGGGATGTGAGCCTTCTTGTGCAGCAGGGGATGGATGGAAGGATGCATGCACAAACAGAAGACAAAAAAGAAGGGAGGTGGTTACTTGGATGAAGGCTTAAAATGCAGCAGGAAAGAACAGCTAAAGGTCAGCAGAAGTTAAGGACAGAAAGAGCCTGTAAGGTAAAGGCGGCGGAGTCGGGACGGGTGCGTGGGTGGCGCCTGTTGACCATGGGGGTCGCTCATTAACAACAGCGAAGGCTGGGCCTCCTAGAGTCCCTTGCAATTGTCTGGCCAGCCCAGGTGTATGGGGTATTCAGACCACAGGAAGCCCCCCTTTTCATCCCCTGCTACTCAAGGATGGATAGAGAAGTGGTCCCAGAAGGTGAATGTGATCCTGCCTCTTTTTTTATTTTATTTTTTTCCCTCCCAGAGTCGGAGTTCTTTGACCCACTACAGGAATCCACAGTCATTGTGATGAGTCTATTCTGAATGTTTAACCAGGACGCTGCTCTGTTTTTCAGCCTCGCTCTCCTGCACTGCAAGAAAACACAAAATCTCACCAAGGATTTCTTGTCCTGTTTCCTGTGCCAATATCTTATTTCACTGGAGACAAAACTAGCTTATAAGTAACTTTTTAGCAATATACAGCAGCTTGTTTTAAGTAAATAATTCCTTAACAGTAATTTAGAAAAGAAGTATTTCCACTGTCATATTACTTTACAATCAACAAGACATTTTTCCCATCTTTTAAGTGAAATGATCTACTAGAGGAAGGAATTATTTACATAAAACAAGCTCCTATATCTTGCCGAAAAGTTACTTGTAGGTTAGTATACTTGGATTGAGACACACACTAGGCCAAAAACACTTGGTAAGATTTTGTGTTTTTGCAGTGTGCACACATTCCTCTGGAAAACAGGTTTGTCTGAATGGAAATAAAGTGGAGGTTGTCGAGGCTCAGGCGGGAGGTCCGGCACACCGTAAAAACGAACAGATTCCATCACTTCCTCCATACTAATTACGATACACTTCGAGCAAACACCCTCTCTCTCTCTTTCTCTTTCTCTACATCCCTCCAAAGCCTATGCTTCACTACCTCTGACACACACACACACACACACACACAGACACACACAGTAAGGTGCAGTTGGGAAATGGTTAACACTCCAGCCGTCCCCTGCTGCCAGTGAAAGCCCACAAAACAATGGAGACATTGTTTGGCCAGGGCTAGACTCTAGACTCCAAGGCTGTGCATGCGTGCGCGTGTGTGTGTGTGTGTGTGTGTGTGTGTGTAGGAGAGGGAGAAATCAGTGTGTATCCTCTTAAAGCAGGGGATGTCTTTCCCTCTCAAAGCTTAAAATACGAATTAAGTTGCTTTCATACCTTTTCTTTAAGCTAAGGCAGGATCTAAAAAATCAAACCAACTTTGATCACATGACTGAGACGAGATCCTCCTTCACCTCCCCCCCTCTGGTCACATGACATCATGACATCACCAACACAAGCCTGGACTCCTGCTGAGGCCGCCGCTGTGTTATTGTTGATGATATCAACACACGCAGCCCAAGTTTGTAGATTTACTAAACACTCTGATTTGGCTCATTGTCTCGCTGAGTTCATACTATACAGACTAACCTCCCTGCAAAAGTATTCACACCCTCTTGGACTTTTCCGCATTCTGAACTGCAAAATAAAGTCCTTTATTATGATTTCATGTGATAGAACAGCATTACATGCCTTTGTCTTCAGGCCTTTCTTACTCAAACGCCTATATGGAATTTCATGTCAGCATAAATCAAGCTGTTTTGTTTCTGGCCTCACAGGTTTATTACAGCATGGTGTCTGCATGTCTCAGCAAACCAAATTTAAGACTTTTTAAGACCTTTTTTAATGCCCTTTTTTAATGCCCTCTTGAATGAAATTTAAGACAAAAAAAACTATAAATGCACGAGATGTTTGGGAGATCCTTCTGTAACACAATCAAGCAAAGCAGAAACTGAGATTTCTGGGATGTTTGTGGCTCTTCTCTACAGCCTTAACCCTGACAGTGCCAAACTTACCAAAAATTTTATTTTTTCTGTTTGCACCAAGTCCTGTATGGGACGACAACAGTGGCAAAAGTGAACATCGTCCAGCCAAATGGAGATAAATTTGTTTTTACCTATGAAAGGCGCAAAAAAAGAGGTAGCTAGCTAGCTAGTATCAGTAGCTTCAACCACATCAAGCCACAGAAAATGTCTGACAAAATGTAATACCTGTGATAAATGTATTTAAGGTTAACATACATTTTTAAAATGAATTTAAGACATTTTAAGTTCTTAATTTTAGACAGACAAAATTAAGACTTTTTAAGGATGCGCAGATGCTCTGTACAGAAATGGCATCATGAACACCATGAACACATCACGCAGGTACAGGGATGAAGTTGCTGAGAAGCAGAATTAGATTCTAGAACAATATCCTAATCTTGGATCCTCTAATTGAGCCATGGACGCTCCAATATTAAAATTCAGGCCAACGCCGGCAGAAATACTGCCGATATTATATCATACAAAGTATATTTCCCTACTCTTTCAAATGACCACTACTCTGGCATTATTCTTTACTTCAGCTAAACATATCCACAATCCCGCACTGGATCATTATCAGTATTTTCCCCAAAAAACACCACAATGACATTTGTTATTTATACTCTCCACAAATCTGGCAAGATGAACCACTGTTGGAAACGGTAGCAGATGGTGGTGGCAGCATTATCTTTTGTAGAGATAGCCAAACCTTAAGCAACCAGCAACTTCGCAGCCCAAAACAGACACACCCCAAAAGACTAACTGCACCAGAAGGTGATTCTATAAAATACATACTACAAATGTATGCCACACTTTTCAGATTTCACAATGTGGATTGAGTCCAGTGTTATATATTTTTTTAAAGAACTAAACCTCAGAGGCCATAAAAGAACAGCTACATTTATATTAATTAAATTAGATACAGGTGAGGTTTATTTAATACTTGGTGCAATCAGTCCCCCTATCTTTAGGGGTATCGGAGTAAAGTGAAAATATTATTTCCACTTGTTTTCACAGTGTTGTGTTGTTTCTATCACATTAAATCAAGTGTTTGGTAAAAATGAGAAAATGTGAAAACTATTAAGTAGTATGAATACTTTTGTGAATTATTAAGCTTTCCTTTGGACTAAATATGAAAAGCTGATGCAGTTTTCAACATTTATCAGCCTAATTTATGTTTCAAACGCATCGAAAAAGGGTTTATTGGTGTACAGCGTCATGTCAACGCATGAACAAATACTCAGCACTGTTGATCTTTCCCCATAGGAGCTGCATGACACACAAAAATTGTTTTGCGGGCTCAACCTCCAAACCTGCACATCAGTAGGTGGATAAAATATTGAATGATTTTCAGCCAATGGCACAAAAGTTCAGCAGCGGCAGGTCTTAAGGCTGCCTGCAGGGCGGTCGCGCACTTCAAAAAGGATCCAGCTCGGCCTCCTCCGAGGGGCACGACAAGCCGGGGCATCCAGCGTGCCCTCGGGGAGAACAGCCATGATTTCCTCCTCTCTCTCTCTAAGCTGATCCTCCATCGTTCCCAAAACTGAGCTTTCCACACAGAGATGAAAACATTTGACTTCATATTTATTCCTCGTCTACGTCCGCCTTCGCTTCTGTTTATTAATGTTCCAGCTGTCTTATCGCTACCTGTGCAGCCTGCTCATGCTTCAGGCAGACGGAGGTCAAGGCACCTGAACGATTCGTTGCATTCGCAAACAAAATGGAGCTACTGTTGGCGGCCAAATCCACAGATAAGAGAATCATGCACCCCGAACAGTGAGACCTTTTTTTTTTTTTTTTTTTTTTTTTGAGTGGCACCTGCAAGATTCAACATGAGGTTGTCATTACGATTCACGGCAGCTGTCCTGCAGCTAATCTTTCCTTTTCTATATGTACGACAGCATGCATGATGCAAACGAGGGAAACATTGAAGCCCACTTCCCGCCTCAGCCAGAGGTGGATGCTGGAGCAGCTCGGGAGGAGCAGCCAACAATACGGGCAGCATTTCACATTCGGTTTCATCACTTCTACTAACAGGCAGTTGTGCGCCGCCTGTACAGCGCGGCGGCAACGCCTCTGATCTTAACCAGCCTGCGCATCAAACGCATCGCACAGAAGTGGGTAATAGGAGCGCAGACATTACAATAGTTTTTTTTTTTTTTTTGGTATTGATCAGTGTCATTATTTATTCAGGGTTATCTGTTTCACTGCTTTTGATTTGTTTATGTCTGTTTGGTAGTAAGGCCAAACAGAAGAGTTTCTACTGAAGAGAAAAAGAAAAGATGCCAATTTAACATCAAGCAGTTTTTCCTTCCACTCAACTTTCCATTAATATACTTAGATGCAACATCCAGAAAACCTAGCTTCTTTAGCAGTGACCTTGTGATTTGTGTGTTATCTGTTGATTTCAAAATTATCACCGAGGAAGTTTCCTTACCATTAAAGGGAAAGATCTGAATCCGCAGAAAGATAACCAGAAATGTCCTTCCTGAAACTTTCTGCACATATGACCTCATTAGAAATATGACTGCTCTAATTTTTTTAAAGCAGAATGAGGATGAAATGAACACATCACATGTCCTAAAAGTCAGAGCAATAGTATAAAACAGATTTAATGACATCATCATGTGAGCTGGGACTTTTGTTTTTCCCCCCAACATCTCCAGAAATAACAATGGTAAAAGGTATAAAACCACCAGCAACAACACAGAGAAGAACAACAAGACGCTTTGTCTGAGTTCCTCTTCCTTCTCCTTGAATAACGCTGTCATCGCCATTTCCTTCTCATCTTTAAACACAACTTTTGACAACATTTCTGTTTCAAGTACGCGTCGTTTCCCTATTTTAAGACGTGCTTCCTTAAATAGCAGGCGAAATACCAACAGAGGCCTCGATTTGCCGGCTTTTCGAGAAGGAATTTATAACAGACCATAAAAGAGGCTGTAATGATTGAATGTCAAATGTGACTCAGAGGGGACAGCGTGTCTCAATAGTGTAATCTGTGCGATAAAAACCACCACATCCTCCAGTGTGCGGCTCCAGAGCAGTAACGACAAATTAACGGCACGCTAGATGAAGAATGGGTCACGGGTTACCGCATGAGGGGTGCTTTGACAAGTTCTGTGCCATGGAAATTTTCATTTTCTTACATAAAAACAAAATAACACACAAAAAAAACATAAAATAAAACAGCAGCCGGAATTGCTCCGAGGCATTAATGGCCACATCAGATCTACTTCTCTATCCCCACACGTATTGATTTTCCTCGCTCTCGCCAACCAAGTGACCACAAACGTATGCCCTCCTTACGTTAAAACTTTTCTACCGACCTCTTGTAAACTTTCAGCCTTAAACTAAGCTGCCGATTTTAGTGTTGGCAGATATCGACATGCCTGAGGTACATGCTGTTATTTGCATGTATCGTCAGGGCAACCTTCCAATGCCATGGAAAGCGTGATCAATGATGGAGCAAAGCAACGCCCCCGCTTCCCTCACAGACAAGTGTCTTGCAGTCCAGCATTTGTTTATTCCTATTAAATCGCAATCAATTGTCCATAAAAATCCAGCTAATTGCTCAAGTTATCATTCCAAGAGATTACAGACAGACATGGCTGGTTCAAAGAACAACAGGTGCGTCCGCCACGGAGTCTCCGCCGCTGCCACTCACCTCGTGATCAACCAGTCCACAACCACAAAGCCTTTCAGTGTCCACATGTGCACTTTTAGGAGAATTAGTGTGGCTTGGGTGTGTTAGTGGCTGTGATTTAGGCGAAACAAACACAAGTGTCCAGTCAAAAACAGACGAAGAAGGAGGGAGGGGGAAGCTTTTTCTTAGATGGTGAAAAAGGACCGAGCGGAGGATTTACTTACGACAATGTGTGCCGGTGACGGGGACCTGGCATCTTTAAGTGCTTGTCTACTCTGAAGACCTCCTGGTTGAACATCTAGAAGGGGCCATTTCATCTGTAGGTACTGAATGGCAGAAAGGAAACAGAATGGAAAGAAAGAAAACAAAACATGTTAACAATGCAAAAAAAAAGGGGAGCGGAAGAGGGGGAAGGAGGAGGCAAAACCAAAAAGTAGTAGGACAAAACAAAAGGGGAAGACATTTCTCGACAAGTGCACAGGGGTGTGAAAACTCAAAAATATGGAGACGCAAATAAAAACTTTAAGGCAGATGGAGGCGATGAGAATGGCCTGAAGCATGCATCTAAGAGTCGAGCAGGAGTGCACACAGAAGCTCCGTAGACTAAATAATGTATATCATTTTCTTTCAGAAATACAAAGCACATACTTTTACAGAGAAAAAGTGTAGAAAAACAACAAAAAAAATTAATTTACACCTAAGTGGCAGACTGGTGAGTTTAAATATGTCTGAGAAATTAAAGCAACGTCTTTTGGTTTCTTTTCCACGCCTTTGTGGTGACCTCATGTCATCAGTGTGACGGGTTTTACTGGAAATCATAAAACGAGGCAAAGTGTGGTCCCTCACCACGCTCCTGTGAGGCTGAACCACCTGACTGCCCCCATAAATGATTGACCTGGCCTCTATCTGAAGTCAGAATGTCTGCCATCGCCCCTCCCCACCCTGTTTCTCTAAAGACGCCTACACCAAGGGAGGAAATAAAATGAAATGAAACACAGATAAGCAGGAACAAGGGTCATGAGAAGCATCTGTCTGTAGTAATAACTACTAGAACAATCTACAGCACCTTTTAATTGAATATGAATGTTTATTGAAATGAAATGTTATTTCTCACACTGAAGTAATCTGAATTGATTTTTAGCCACCGAAGGTCTGGTGTTGACTTTGCTACAACATGACGAGTCAAACTTTGCTTTTCAATGGCACAGCCACCTAACCTGAGGTAAAAAGGTCAAAGTGACCGTGTATAAAAAGCTACAGAGAAACAAGCTACCTGGGGCAAAAATAACAAATACTTAGATCTTTTAAGTATTTATGTGACCGAGCACAAAGAACGTGTGAAAAAAAACTTAAATGAACTTAAAAAAGGTGCAAAATGTCGATTTCAGTGTTAATGTTCTTAGTTCCACGCATGGAGTTTGAAATTAGTGGGGAAGATGCACCTCAACAATGTGCAGTTTTAGACAATAAGAAAGCTTTTGCTGTTACTCTGAATGGAAAAAAAAAATAAATTGCCATCCGTTTTCTATCAACAGCAATGCACCAGCTGCAAAACAGCCCCAAATCAGGAAGTATCCACCAGAACGAGTTTGCACCAGTCATCTTTGACATCGTTCTCGTCACCGAGGCTAAACAGATCAAAATTGTCTCACCTAACCCATATTATTTTTCTCTGTTATGAATTTAGAGTCTCGACGTGGTACAGCTTAAGAGTTTAGTCAAACTAGAAGGAGTTGATTTTAGAGCAATTGCTTCTTTCTTGGTCAACACCGTTACAATCCGTGGCGTTGTAATGCTTGGTTTATTGTGGATAATGACAGCGGATTGGAAGCAGTATTCGGTTAAAAATAGTTCAAAAGTGTTTGCACAATTTATGTATCCAAATTTCATTTTAGATCTTTATTGAATTCCTTAGATTTCCCCCTTTGTCTTAAGTAGAATGGATGCCCATTCAGAGATACAATAACTGAAGTTATGGGCCATAAACATCCGCAATTAGGCAGAATCTGCAAATAATTGAGACCCCCCTCTGAAACCACATATTTTAACAGTTAAAACAACAAATACACTTTAATATGCATTAAACTACCACACTATTACAGAAGCTAACATTAACAGTTTTCCTTTTCTTCACTCTTGGGTGGTACAGCCAATCAGCGCTAAGAAAAATGAATGGAAATGTGGATCGGCTATCTTGCAAACACCAGCTAATTGCGTATGAGGCATCATTGTGCCAAGGTGTTTCAGCTTCCCAAACTGCATTTTCTTTCGAAAACATTACATGTGCCCTACAAAATTATCCAATAATAATTTAGAGTTATGCTCCACGGATAAATATGTGAATACTGAACTGCAAATAGGCGTTGGTCCACCGTACTTGTTAAACCAATGAGTGTTGGCAAACAAATTACTTTCATGCTGGGACAGAGAAACTGGCAGTTGCAGTAAAACATGATTACTAATAAGTTAATCAACCTTTACTGGTTATGAGAAATACCTCCAGCACTTCTTACTAAAAGATTTAACTGAATGCAAGTTTATTTGAGTAAACACATTTATTATGATGATTTTGATTGGAGAAAATCTGAAATTCTTTAATGTTATTATTCATGTAGTCTAATCATTCCCATCTTGCAAAAACACAAAAATTAAATAAATCAACGATAGCCCAAAATGAATATTCAAGCCGGAACTGTAGCTTTTTAAATTAAAGTAAAGCGCTGACTCATTTTTAGAATCCAGAGTATGCTGGTAGAAAAGAGAATAAGATTAAGGTCATTAGCAACCAAATGAAGAAACATGACCAATCACTGCTGTCAGGTAATTAATGCAGTAGGGCAGCAGGCCCGTGTTGTAACCTCTGTGGCACAGATACTCATTAAAAAATTTCAAGACAATGCAACTAAAGAGCTGTGACAGGCCTGAACTCTGAGCTGCGTCTGTAACGCTGGTCAGACACAAACTTTTGGATATGATCAAAAAAAATCTGAAGGGTTCTTTCTTCTCTTCCCATCATTTCAAAACCGTTTGGTGACTTGCCAAGGTGTTGCGGTAATGACTTGAGTAGCTTCTGTTACATTTCGCCATAATTATTGTAACCCAGGATCACATGTTGGCACTCGGCGATAAAAAAGTTTAATAAATTGCTGTCCATTCCTCACGCGATCAATGAGGTGCAAGGGGGAAGCAGGGCTTAATTATCCGGGGACATTTGGTTTCTTTGTGTTGCCATCTTTGCAAAGGTGGTCACTAGTTTATACGAGTGTGTTCCACTTTGCGTGTGTGTGTGTGTGTGTGTCAGAGCTGGCTGGAGAGCGAGTGTGTCACGACCCTTTCTGAGACTGTGTTTAAATCAGTGGTAATTAGCCAAGAGTTCACTGTGGGGTGCCTGCCAGTGGAAGACGCTGGAGGGAGTTATTGACTGCGTGTCCTCAGTTACAGCCCTGGCGCGGAGAAAACTGCCTGCTGCCGGGTCGCTCTCCAGCATCGTTTATGACCCAAAGACGACTTTTACTGCACCAGAACTGTTTATGCTTGTTTGTATGTCTGTATGAGTGGAAAAAGGAAAACTTGTAAAAGCTCCTGTGGGTTTTTCATGAACCACTCCCCCTTTTACCCACACTAGGCAATAATTGCTAAGAGTAAAAGAGGAGGGTGACTTTTTTACAGCAAAAAAAAAAAGAACAGGAAGAGGAGAATGACAAAGTTGTTATATATGAGGTAATTCAGCACGACAGAGATGCACTGACATATCACCCTCTCACTGGAATCAGACGATTTTTACACTTAGCGAAAACTGGTCAGTGATTAGTCGATTAGGAATTTTAAAGTCTTATTATTTTTTTTTTCTATTCAGTAATCGAGCTAGTGTTACTGAGAAGGAGACTCGGAGTTAGCCATTTTACATTCACTGAGGTAATTACATATGTAGCACACATACATTCAAGATAGGAAAGTTATTTTCTAGAGTTGTTATAGTCCTAGGCTTTATGAGGCTCTTCCTCTGTGCAGGTGTTACTGACCTGCTGATCCAGAGCACAGTATTTAAGGACTCCTGACGCGTGTGCTCCCAGACCTCATCTCCTCTCATCATGCGCATTTACCTTTGTTTTCGCAACTCACAACTCCCATCTGCATGCACACAACACATCCAAGCATTTGCATTACACCACTGATACTGTCACCCACCTTCCATTGTAGTTTTTCTTAATATTATTATCCATATTAAATATTCACTTTCCGCACCTTTAACCATGGTCTCCTGTTTTTGTTATGATCCTAAACCAGTTTCAACAAATTGGGGGCTCATCCGGGAAGCACTACAGTAAAGCAGTTAACCAGATTAACCAGTTTCTCTGGATAATCTTCAAGAAGACTTGAGTCTAACTATATGCTGTGTAACATCCTCAATAGGAAATGCTGGAAATCTTTTGGACATCTTAAAAGCATATATTTATAAAGCTAACCCAGTTAGCCACGCTAACCATGCCAGACACCAATACAAGATGCTAAAAACAGATAAAAGCCTCAACTCTTGTAACAATTTTGTCCTTGTTTTGAAGTCCAGCTCAATTGACGAGTTCCGTAATACAAACTGCTCTCCCTAATGTCGGGCATCTCCTTATTTTACATAAATATTTTGACTAAAATCAACATTAGGAAGTCAGAGCTTTAAGAAATCCCTGACAGGAAACAAATCACATCTCTGATCAGTGCAACTCCATAATTCACATGTAGCAAAAGTTTTGCAATGTCATGTTAACGTGCTGACAGATGCAGATCCTGAAACACTGCTTCACCTGGGAGAAGAGGTGAGGAAGGAGTGTGAAGGTGACGCCCAGACACCTCCTCAGTGTTAGACCAATTGATAAGTGAGACGAAGGATGCCGGAGCCCAGATAAGTGGCTCCACCTCAGCCTTAATATTGCAAATGTTCTCACACACTAGGGTTTTATAGGCATGTCGAGGAAGACGGAACCTTGGCAAGCACTGTGCACTTCCAGATCAACCCCCTTCTGGCTCCCACCCACCCGTCTGGCCTGCTAACGGACGCACTGGCTGGGCTCGAGTAAGGCCGCGACCTCTGACCCCCTCCCTCTGCTTCCCCACTCAGCGACCTGAAAATTCTCCTGCTATGAGAGGGGGCCCCCCATGTAACTCAAGAGCCATTCCAAAGTGACAAATTGCTCCGGAGTTCCAGGATAACTCTCTCTCTCTCTCCCCGCCCCCAACTCCACCCATACACAGACGCTAACCAGCCCAAACCCAATCTCTCCCCCCCAACAGACCTCCCCACCCAACGAGAACCAACCAGTAGCTATGCTTT